TTACTACAAGTGAGTTTGACAAATCAAATCCAACAAATACAACAACAACAACAAAGCCTTAATCCCACTACGTGGGGTTGGCTACATGAATCCTTTTTCTCCATTGCGTCCTATTTAGTGTCATATTTTTATTTAGTTCTAATAAATTAAGATCCTTTTTTATACAATAAGCCCAAGTCTTCCTAGGTCTACCTCTGCCTTTCTTAACATTAGTCGAATCTAAAATATCTACTCTCTTAGTCAGATCATCAAATCTAACAAATAACTTCATATTTTTATTTAATTATAATAAATTAAGTTCAGTTTTTATACAACATACCCAAGTCTTTTTATGTCCATCTCTATCATTCTTAACATAAGTCAAATCTAAAACATTTACTCTTCTAATTTGGTCATCAAATGGTCGACCTTTGATGTGATCAAGCAATCTAAGGCGACTCTCTCTAATCTGGTTTGCCATTGGAGCTACTCCAACCCTTTCATAGATATATTCATTTCACATTTTGTTCTCTTATTATAAAGTCACTCATCCACTTGAGCATTCTCATCTTAGGAACACTTAACTTGATTTTATGCTTTTCTTTTATAGACTAAACATTATGCTTCATAAATCATTGTAGATCTCACAACCATCTTATGAAATTTTTCTTCAATTCTAAGCGGTACTTTTCTATCACACCATAAGTCCGATGCATTCCTCCACTTCAACCATCTAACTTGAATTTCACTAATAGTCATCTATATTGACGACACCGTGAGCAATTGAGCCGAGATTTCTAAAATGTTTAGTCATTTTAATGACTTGATCACCCATTGTTGTACCCAATTATTAGATTTATTACTAAAATCACATTATATCTATTCAACCTTAACCTACTCAAATGAAATCTTTTAGACTCTAATGTTAGCCTTCTTAATTCAAGTTTTCATTGAACTCTCTCTACTCTTATCCAAAATAAGGATATCATCAACGAAAATCATATATCAAGGTGCATCCTCCTATAAATGTCTAGTAAGAACATCCATAACTAATGCAAAAAGATATGGGCTTTGCAAAAAGATATGCTTAAAGCTTAAAGCCAATCTTTGATAATCCAACTGAAACAGAAAAACCTTGATCAATCCTCCTTGTGTTCGAACACAAATAACAACTCTAATATGCATGTCTTTAATGAATTTTACATAAGCATTATCAATACCTTTCTTTTTTAGAACTCTACAAAGTACTTTGAAATCTTAGCATAAGTTTTTTTTTTTTAAATCAACAAAAATCATATGTCGATTCTCTTTACTCTCTCTGCACTTTTCTATCAAACCTCTCAATAAATGTATATCTTTCATAGTAGACTTGCCCGGCATAAATCTAAATTGATTTTGAGAATTTTTGGTATCACATCACTAACCTATATTAAATTACTCTCTCCTATAATTTTAATGTATGACACATAAATTTAACTTCTCTATAATTTATACACTCTTGTGCATACCTTTTATTCTTAAATGTAGGAATGAATAGGCTCTCTCCACTCATTAGACATCTCTTTAGTTCTTAAAATAATATTCAAACATTTAATAAGCCAAAAATTTTTAGATATCTTAAACATTGTTATATTTCTATTGAAATACCATCATACTATACTAATTTTTCACACTTCATGCTCTACTAATTTTTCACACTTCATTTTTCTTAAAGCCTCATCAATTTTTGTCTTACTAATTGATAGTAGAAATAAAATAGCTTATTACTATTTACGATATTAAGATTATTAAAGTTGCTCATATTTTAATAATGTTCATAAAAGGTTTATCAAAATATCTCACCCCATATGGTGAATATTTTTATTAATTTTTTTATTTTTAATCTAATTACATTTTACTTGAACTAAATGCTTACTTTTCTTTTTAATTGACTAGTTTATACGTATATCTTTCACTATTTTTAATCTATTATAAAGATCATTAAAAATTGAATTCTTAGCATCATAATTTTTTTCTTTAGACTTTCTAAATGCTACATTTTTTAAAAATTTTTTTGAAGTTCTTACGTCTAAATCAATTTTTATAATGAACTTTCTTATTTTATATCGTTACTTTTTGCATTTTGCTTAGTAGTATTCGTTATTTTATCCTACATTGTATTACCCTTTTCATGAATATCCCAAATCTTAAATATTGAAGTTTACTTATAAAAATAATATTATGTGCATCTGTTAAATGTCTTTATCTAGTTCTATAATAATATTTTATTATATTTTTTTGTTCAATCCTTCATCTTAAAATTTAAAACAAAAAATTGATGTTTAATACTTAATTTTTTATTTAAAATGACTATCATTTTTACGATCTAGACAATCTATTCTTTTCATAAGAAAATAATCAATTTTGTTTTATTAAATCCATTCTTATAAGTGGTAATATGTTCATCTCTTTTCATAAATAACAATAATAATTATAAGCTAAATCAAAATTTAATTTGATATCTTTTTTAGTAGTCATCCTAAAATCATAATTCCCATCAATACTTCTAAAATCTTCTACCACTCTACTAATATGTATATGTATATCTTCTCAAATAAATTTTATTTTCCTCAAGAGGTATCCTTTGTATTAATTCTTCTAGGTCATTCTAAATTTTTTTTAACATATATCCAATCTTATCTGAGGAGCATAAGCATTTATAAGATTAAGAATCTTGGCATCAAAAATAATATTTGGACCTGTAATTTTATCTCTCATTCTATTAATTTACACAACATTATCTTTCAAACCCTTATCTATAATTAGATATACACTATTTTAATACGAGTCCTACTTGAATATCAAAGTTTAAAATTTAAGCTATCAATCTCCTTCATATTTTCTCCAATCATTTATTTTATTGAATGCGTGAGATATTTATTTTCCTATGAATAACATTAATTTACTTGTGAGAGTATTTGTAGTTTAAGTTTTTATTCAAATATTAATTTCATGAATTGACATTATTGCCCGCATCTATCCATAATGTGAGAACTTTGTTTTATTTAACACTACTCTGGGGCACCAGTGTAGTGACCCTTACACCATTTTCATTGTATTCAGGGCATACGGTGTGTCACTTTCAAGGGATGTCCTAACATTGACAAAATGATTTACCATTTATCTCATAGTTTTTCGACGAAAGTTTTATGCCGATTGCCGACTACCCAATACGATCCTCTACTTTTCACACGCATGACTTGGGACCTAACAATGACCGTTTGGAACATGAATTATCAGGGCTTATAAGAGGAACATATGTTTCTTTTGTAACATGAATAATAAAAAAAACACAAATAACTATATAGTGGTTGTGTAATTGATGTCATCTAACTCTCAAGGCTGAAGTGTTATTGTCTCTATATATAATTTAAATGAACATAGTTGCGGTAAACCTTCACTGGCAATATTGAAAATAAATTTTTAATGAAATGACTATAGCATAGGCCAATCATCACCCTTGTAAGGTAATTCCTTAAATATGGCGTTCAATCATATAATTTAATGTAAAAGGATGATTCAAGTAATGCAAACAGCAAGGGAGTCAAGAATAACACAATGTTAAAATTATAATATTTTTGATTAAAAAAATATTCAATATACACAAATAGGATGATAGAATGATAGCAAGATGATGAAAAGATTGAGATCTAAAAAAAAAAAACTAATAGTCCTTCTGGTATGAAAGACGATTTTGAAAATTATAAGAGTTGATCTTGGTCAAAGGAGGACAAAGGAAGCGAGCGGTTGGAATGAAGAACAAAGTTGTGAGTGGGAGAGGTTAATTCAACTGAAGGAACTCGATGGCTTCAATGGGCTGTTATGTCATGCACTCGCCCTCTTTCCTCTTAAATCAAAACTCAGGCAAAGCAAGGGGAATAATATTTTGCAAAAATCAGTGGCTGTTATGTGAAGCTTCATGCATTTGGAAGTCCCTATTGAGGGCTTCGACAACTTGATTTGGGCTTAAGTGTTTTGTATGGTTTAGTTAAATTTTGGAAAATTTATGCATGTAACACGGAATTCTCATGTATTTACCTACCTCACACCAATATTTTGTTGTTTATCTGCATACCACTTTACCTATGCATGAAAAGGTGGATTTGACTTGTGACAGTGATAATTAGCGGTAGTTTTGATGTGATAGTAAAGAATTGAATGTTATGCGGATAAATATGAAAATTTTTGTGTGAGATATGTAAATATAGAAGAATTGTGTGCTATGTACGTTAATTCCCTTTCAATTTATTGTATTCATCTCATAAACTCAACAGCCTATCTACAAGAAACGTTTTTTTGTGAACTTATGCATCTTGCACTGATGCCACGATGAGCGTCTAGTAGTAGGCATGGCTTTATCTTCTTTTCCAAATCTTGATAAAACATCTTTATACATGCAGGAGTAAAGTGTGACAATAGTACCTTGACTATTTACATTTTAATCCCAGAATGTATAAAAGTGTCCTATCAGTTTCTTTCCTCTTTTAATTAGGGCTAAAATAGTCCTTCACTGGAAAAATTTAGCCCATATTTTAGAAGTATGGAGACTAAATTGACATTTTTATATATCCTGGGACTAAAACGATCACATACAAAAATGTATGCATTGGACCATTTTTGACACTTTTCTCATATGTGTAGTCATGCCAACTAATTTTCTCGAATGGCTCTTATTAAAACTTTAAAATACTGTCATCCATTAATGATCATTTAGGACAAATATATATATTTTTGCTCCTTACAAATTGATGAAAGCGTTTACACCATCATGGCAATGTATGTTCACCCTTTTGTGTTATTTTGTTCATGTTGTATGGCGATCATGCGCCTTCTCTTTTGTGACGCCTGAAGTTAATATTTTTTTTAAGCAGTTATCACCATTTATAGTGTTCAGAACCTGTTTTTGAGTTCAGGAAGGTTGCATTTGGGTTTTCTTCATTATCTAATTTTATGTTTTCCCCTGTTATGTTACAATGTTTCAGGTGCTCCATCTTACAAGTGGATATGCATGTCATGCTGGGTTCATTAGGCATCTCTGTTTTTAGCCAGCTGCTTTTTAGCCAGCTGCTTTCTTGATAATAGTTGCATGTTAGTTGATCAACACGCATTTGAATAGCTGACAGGTCACATGCACAGGCTATCATGTCATTAATGAGATCAGCAGATTCATCTACATCGTGTAGAGAACCTGGCTGCTATGGCCGTAAATGTTGTGACTCCTCAGCGTTATCTTCTCAGATATATGCCTCAGATAAACAAATGTTGCATTATGGTCTGAATTCTTACCAGTCAGATATATATGGCCAGCAATATTTTACAAACTCTTCCTCTGGTTTGAATCCTTTGAACTCTATTCATCTATCATCATCTTCAGTTCATGGAACAATGCACCGTCCCCAGGTTTCATCGGGGCCTTATCAACTGACAGGGAATGCCTGTCCTTCCATGACACAGGAGAATTCATATGGAGCATGTTTTTCTGCAGTTCATCATCAGGTTTCATCTCTTTCAAACAATCAACAAGAAACTCATTCTCTTTCAGAAAGTCATAGTCTGGATCCTGAAATGGACTACGATGAAATTGATATAAGATTGAAGCTTCAAGAACTCGAGCGGGCATTATTGGATGAGACTGATGACTTTGTAGACCTTGGCGAAGAGATGTTCATTGATGAAGACTGGACCGAGTCCATCAAAAGTCTCATGAGTCCAAATTCACCAAAGGAATCTTCATCAGACTCAAACGTAAGTACTATCAGCAGCAACAGGGAAACTAAAACCCCTAAACAGTTGCTTTTTGAATGTGCTTCTGTCATATCAGATGGAAATGTGGAAGATGCACAGGCAATGATCACAGAGCTTAGGCAAATGGTGGCAATTCAAGGGGATCCTCCTCAAAGGCTTGCAGCGTACTTGGTAGAAGGCCTTGCAGCCAGAATTGCCTCTTCAGGCCATGGCTTGTACAAAGCTCTGAAATGCAAAGAGCCCCCTACCACTGATCGCCTGTCAGCAATGCAGATCCTCTTTGAGATTTGCCCGTGTTTCAAGTTTGGTTTCATGGCTGCTAATGGTGCCATTGCCGAAGCATTCAAAGATGAGGAAAGAGTCCATATTTTAGATTTTGATATAAACCAAGGAAGTCAATATATAACCTTAATTCAAGCATTATCAGCCCGACAAACTAAACCACCCCGTTTGAGGATAACCGGTGTGGATGATCCAGAGACGGTGCAACGGGCAATTGGAGGCTTGAAAGTCATTGGACAACGCCTGGAGAAGCTTGCAGAGGAAGTAGGTGTCCCATTTGAGTTTAAGGCAATAGCTGCTAAGACTGCAGATGTTACTCCTTCCATGCTTGATTGTCGGCCCGATGAGGCACTTGTAGTGAACTTTGCATTCCAGCTTCATCATATGCCGGATGAAAGCGTATCAACGGTGAACCAACGAGATCGGCTCCTTCGCATGGTAAAGAGTCTGGATCCAAAGCTGGTTACAGTTGTTGAGCAGGATGTCAACACCAATACTACCCCTTTCTTCCAAAGGTGCTTCCCATGAAACTATAGCCTTCAAATTTTTTATTTCATAATTTTCCATCATTCTATATTCCTTGCCGCTCTGTTTAGTTTAATTTTAATGCTTAGTATTTATTATCATAAATATTTTTTTATTTGTTATGAATGAAATCACAAGCTACTGGAATTATTTAGGAATTGGACTGTTTTTATCTCCACACACACGCATGGTCCTTCTCTTTTTCACTTACAATTAGATTTATTGAGAATGATTTTTTCATGGACTTATTCCGTGTACTCTTTTTTCTATCAACCATCCATTCAAATCTACTGGTATATATCTCTTGCAATTTGACATTATTACCGCCACTTGGTCCCTCTTTGTCACAAGTGGTTTATAATAAAATTACAGATTCTTTTAGCCAACCTGATCAAAACTTGAGCTCATGAAATGATAGGTTTGTGGAGGTCTACAAGTACTACTCAGCAGTATTTGAGTCACTTGATGCAACCTTACCAAGGGAGAGTCCTGATAGAATGAATGTTGAGAGGCAGTGCCTTGCAAGAGATATTGTGAACATTGTAGCCTGTGAAGGGGCTGACAGAATAGAAAGGTATATATATAAATATATTTTTTGTGACTGCATACTTTTCAACACATCTGTTCTGGATCTTAGAGTTTAAGTTCTCTCGATTATCATTATTTTTTATTTTTTGTGAAATTTAAGATATGAAGCTGCTGGGAAGTGGAGAGCAAGGATGACAATGGCTGGATTTGTCTCATGCCCGCTAAGCTCTTATGTTAATGGAGCAATCAGGTCGCTGTTGAAGTCCACCTACTGCGACAGGTACAAAATTAAGGAGGAAAATGGGGCACTCTACTTCGGCTGGGAGGATAAGATTTTAGTTGTGGCTTCTGCATGGAAATAAAAAATAGTTGTTTCTGCTAATAAGATGATTTTGATGTGCTTCTGTATATAAGATTTGTGTGTAAGAAAATTTCTAACATCTCTGGCTTTTTGATGTATGATCTAATCTCCTCAAATGTAATCTGAATTCTCTCTGTTTGGTGCACCCGACAACAATGTTTTTTCTTGCGGATGTCTGCTGACTTTCTCTATTATTTTTTAGAATCTGTGTGCAGCGCAGCTTAAAATTCAATGCAATTATAGCTTCTCATCCATATTTTTAAAACTGCGGTGCAAATGATGATTTTGGACTGTTTTGGATGCCCAGATACAGTATTTTTTGGATCAGTTAGGGCTTGTTTGAGAATATGCTGAATCTCCCTTGTATTGCAGTAAATGCTGACATTTGCAAAAGCTTTCATTTAGTAAAGCAATGCCTGCCAAACGTACTCTCTCAAAATTATTTAACAGTAATTTTTTATCATTTTGGATCACGAAGAACCTCCGTTCCTCCAAGATTGTAAGTTGCTTTTATTAGAATGAGTTCAATATCTGTTTTTTTCCTTTTCGTTTTAAGATGAATTTTAGTATTAAGTTTATTCTTTTGAAGTCTTGATAAATATACTGTGATTCTAAAGAAAAAAATATTAGGTCAGGATTTTGGATGCATCTGGAATCTAATAGTAGGACATCACGTATCAAGTTGGACTATCGCAATATATTGGGATTGGTCAGTATTAAAATTTGTGAGACTCACTTGACACGTGACACCCCATCATTGGGTTTCAGATGCAAATTGCGTCTGGAGTCTGGATGTAATACAATTTTACTAAGTTTGGTTTAATGATGCCAAATTTTATGATGAATTTTAGTATTAAGTTTATTCCTTTGAAGTCTTCAAAAATATACCGTGATTCTAAAGAAAAAATATTATGTCAGGATTTTGGATGCATCTGAAGTCTAATGGTAGAGCATCACATATCAAGTGGGATTATCACATTATATTGGGATTGGTCATTGTTAAAATTTGTGGGGCTCACTTGACATGTGACATTCCACTATTGGACTTCAGATGCAAATTGCGTCCGGAGTCTGGATGGAATACAATTTTACTAAGTTTGGTTTAATGATGCCAAGGGGCTGTTTGAAGAAGAAATGGAGATTAAAAGGAATACGGGTAATTAAAATATAGTAAGTTAGAAATACTTTGGGGTTTTATTGATTGAATGCAAGCCAAATTCACTAGATTTTTTTCTTATGATTGATTTAAAATTTAATGAATTTAATATAAAACTAGATGAGAAGTTGACAATTGTTAGTTTGTAGTGGGCGGTGGTGTTTTTGGTTGGCAGTAGTGGAGTAAGCTATGAACAAGAGGGAGAGAATAACAGAGAAATAATTCTTTTTAATATTTGGAAGTATGTCTCTTATATTATAATAATCCTTTCTATTTATAGAGATGTTGGTTTATATATTGAAATTATACAAAAATTCAAAGAAAATATACAAATCTCAAAAAAAATATTTGATATAACTTCTTTGCCCTCTTTCAATGACATCGTTAAAATTAAATATTATTATGATAATTTCATGCATTGGTGATCATATCTCTTAAATATTTTTTTATTAGACTTGACATCTAATGTGCTCTTGTCAATGACTCAACCATGAGCCGAATTGATCTCCCTAAAGAGTAGATCTTCGGTGAATTAGTTTCTTGGGGGAGTTAATTTTCTGGCAAGTTGCTCTTGTGGGGGAGTAGTCGAATTATGTCAGTCGAGTATTTGTGTGTTGATTACCATTGACAAACTATAAGATCTGGTTCCCTATTCTAGTTATTTTGTTGAATTGATCTAGGAAGTTGCTCTTCTGGGGGAGTAGTCGAATTATGTCAGTCGAGTTTTGTGTGTTGATTACCATTGACAAATTAAAAGATCTAGTTCCCTATTCTAGTTATTTTGTTGAATTGATCTAGCCTAGCAGTCTAATGACCTTGGTGAGCAATCCAAGGGCTATAGGTACAAATTAAATTAAATTCAATAAAAAAGAGATGCTTCAATTTCTTTATGTATGGAATAACAGCACTAAAATTTATGGCTATCATTTATAACTTTAAATTCTTATTAACATACAATTAGATTTAATTAAATATTTATTTTTCTTTTTTGACATCATAAGTATTGTTATTCTAATCATTTCAACTAAACTTAAAAACCCTCCAACCACTTCTCCTTGATCCATAAAAATTAATGCATAGCTTTTTAACCACCATGGGTGAAATGTTCTCATAATCTTAGACGATTATTTTTTATCAATTTATTTAATACTTCATTTTCTATCAAAATAAAAAGCAATTAATGACCTTGATCAATTGGGATATAAACTCTCTAGTTTTAACATGATCATATTTTTAAGTGTGCACTCTATTTCCACTATCAAATTGTCATGCTACATAGTTATCGTGCTTCCAATTTTGTTAGATATGTTTATAAATGGCTTTTATATCGAGTTGTTGCATCATCTTTAAAAGTTATAATGATTGCATCATATCTTGTTAGAAACCATTGAATTATTTTAAAACTTTTGAAGCTCTCTTTATCTCTCTTTTGTCAAACAAAAATTTTTATTTTTAAAAAAGTGATAAGGAGGCAGTCTCATCAAATCAGGCTTCACCAAGCTTACAAACATACTCGTCATCCAAGATGTAAGAAAACTCTCCCATTCAATTTCAAGCCATTAACCCACCAAGTAGCAAATTGGACTCGTATAATCATTAAAGAAAGACATCTAACAAAACTCAAGAATGGCTTCATTTCCACTTACATCATATCTAACAAGAATAACTTACTAAAAAGATCACCTACAACCATGGAAGTCACTCGATCCATGCCATTAGGAGGCCTAGCGATGCTTCCACAAACAGTTGATACATAGTTGAAGACTGTATTAAAACATTACCCCTTTATTTCTATTTGTATTTTCTTTTTTGCACATACTCTTTCTTTTGTAGCCTTTTTTAATTCACTCAAGATTCCAAGTCTTTATAAGTAGGGGATCCTAGATAGTGCCAAAGATTTGATTCTTTCTAATCCCTATTCTATTACTACAATTTTTGGACCTTCCCTGATGGATCTGCTTTTTATGCTTACATATGACTTCCCCACCCTTTGCTATTATTACTATTATTATTATTATTTTAATTTAAAAGATTTAGGTGGGACCCACTGACAAAATAGAATCCAATATTGTCATTAATAACTCTCACACCTTCCATAACATTAATAACTGCCCTAAACATTAACATCCCATTAGTATTTTTTTTTTAATTATTTTTTCATCAAAAGTTTTAGCTTTATAATTTATATTTATTGGATGCAAATCAATAGACAAAAATTATGAAATATAGATGTACTTAATAGCTAAGTAATTCAAGCATCATATTTGTTTAATGATAGTATTATGGAATTTAAATTTGATATTAGATTCATGGTAATATTTGGTAATCAATTATATAGTAATACTTTTACCACATGAATATAGGAGTATTATGAATAATTTATCTTTAATTTTGTTCTTAATAATATATACAAGCTTGAAAGTTAAATCCAATTCTCACCGAAACAAATAAGCGCGACCTCAATGGATCCTTCCTAAGGCAAATAGCCAACGAGCTACTACATAAACTAAAAGTGGTAGAACTCAAAAGCATGCATGAAGAGGTGAGATCACAAAAATAATATGTTTGAATTAGGAAATTGCCCTTGAATAACAAATAAATATACATAGTATTATTATTGAATATATATAGTACTATCATTAACAAAATCATTAAGTAAATGGAACTTAACTGAATTTTAATTTAATTATATATATATATATATATATATATAATTTGGAAAAAAAATAGTACTTTGGATTTTGGAAAATGCAAGACCGGACCGTAAAGTTTTAACACATTACTTGTTTAACAACAAATAAGTTAGTTCATATAAAGAATTGAGTTAATTGTGTTCAAAATTGGAAAAAAAAATATTACATCAGGAGTAGTGATGCAAAACTGCATCAAGACTCCAATCACAATGCACCACGTGTACGGTTAGACCCTGTCATGCATTAAACTATTTAGCTTTTGTATTTGGTGAGGTCAGATTGTACACGTTGTGCATTGTAATTGAAGTCGTGATGAAGTTTTGTATCAGAAATCTTGATGTAATAGTTTTTTCTCAAATTTTATCCATCTAGCTTTAAACTTGTTGAAAATAGTTCAAATTTGTTTAGTTTTACTTGCTAAAATATATCTAATCAAGTGTTAATTGAATCTAATTTGATACATTAATTATTTATAGCTTCATAATTTAAGCGTAAAAATTGTATTTTTTTTTAATCTATTAAAGCTAACTCTTAATCTGATTCTTACTTCATCTCTCAATCTCCCCCTCCCTCCCTCACTCTATGGGGTCAATTTATTTTGGGGAGAGAAATGTTATTTTTTAAGTAGTGTTATATCTCATAATCGATATACCCTACAAAACGTTATTGTTGCTTGCAGTTTTTGCGATAATCTCCCTTAATGTTCTCATAATTGAAAAGTTCGACTATTAATATGCAAATGCAGATTTTACTATTAGGTCTGCATGTTTATTTATTCACATGCCTTGAGCACCTAGATTTTTTTTTTGAAGTAATCGATCGAGTGGTGTTGCTATACAACTACTTTTTAAAGATAAATGGGGCATCAGGATGATCTTGATGTAAAACTGCATCATGACTCCAATCATAATCTGTCACATGTACGGTCTAACCCCACTGAATGCAAATTTCTTTGAAGATGTTGATCCATCAAATTAGAGAGAACGACGGGATTCACTGCCAAAGAGTAAATTCAATTGCAATTCAAGTTGATCTGATGAGATTTATGGCTCCGATGATAGGGAAAATGAGAAGAAATTATCATGATAAGGAAAAGTTAAAAAAGCAGAGCTGCAAAAATGAAAATCACAGAGGATGTGCGCGGGTGATTGGGAATGGTAGAGAGAGTTTGATCTGCTGTGTAGCTTGTAGTTTGTGCTATCCTTTGGGCGGAGGTGTAACTGAAATGAGAAGATGAAGAGAGCAACTGGAACTCCCAGAGACTGCCTGCCACCCATCTCTGTCTCGCGCAGATAAAGGAAGCATTAATGGAGTGCGCCATTCATATTATTAAAATTCTGTAAGAATGGTTTTAAGGGCTCTGCCGACTCCAGTGGTTTGAAG